CACCTAGCTGGCCTACCATGTTTGTGATAACCTCTCAGAAGTTCATAAGCAAGAAGGATAGGATCAGTGATCTTCCTACCATAAACAAATACAGACTAAGCTTGATCAATTAGATTTGGCAGTGTAGCTTGTAACCTTGCAGCCAACAATTTTGAAATACACTTGTATATTGTATTAACACGAGATATAGGTCTGTAATCATGGAGTGAGGATGGATTTTGGCATTTAGAGACCAAGACAATGTAGGTGTTGTTAGCCTCTGCAATAAGTTTCCCATTCCTAAAAAATTCAGAAATTGCTTTTGGAAGAGACCTGTCTACAATGCTCCATGTGCTTTGAAAAAACAGTGCATTAAACCCATCTGGACCTGGAGCTCTATCCTTATTAAGCTTCATCATGCAAGTTTTGATCTTCAAATAGCTTGGCATTTCATCAAGAAAAGGGTGTCGGGAGGTGGGAACAACCTTATAGATGAATGGAGCCAAATCATTAGTGTGGTGAGTGGAAGGGGCTGAGAGACCAAGTAAGGACTGAAAATGAGTAACCACTTGGAGTTTAATGTATTCCACTTTATGTATAACCTGGCCATCATCAAGGGTTAGAGAAAAAATCTTCTTCTTGTTGTTCCTTGAGGTGACTGATTTGTGGAAGAATGATGAGTTACAATCCACAAGTTTTAACCAAACCATTATAGATTTCTGCCTGAGAACATCCTCTTGAATACTTCCCAATCTCAAGTACTCTGTGGTGAGAACCTTTTTCTAATTGTCTGGGTGTAGGATCACTAGGAGATAAATCCAGGTCCAATTAACAAGACTGGAGTTCAATTTGTAATGTATGGATTTTGGAATCCAAGTCAGAGAAATTTTTCCCACAATTGGATATAAGAATAGGTTTTAGAAGCTTGAGCTTTTGAACTACTTGGAACATAGCAGTTCCCTTGATATAGGTATTCCAAACCCCTTGGACTGAGGATGAGAATTATTGGTGGGATGTCCAAGCATTGAAGAATCTGAATGAAATATGCCTAATTGGTCTGTTGAGATCCAGTGTAACCAAAATGGGGTTGTGATCAGAGATACCTGGTGTGAGGAAGTTGCATTCTGAGATTGGAAAGGAGGCTGTCCATTGTTGGTTCACTAAAGCCCTATCAAACTTCTTAGCAGTACAAGCCTCTCCCATGCTTTTATTTGACAAAGAGTAAAGTATGTCACAAAATTTGAGGTCCTCCAATTTAGCATTTTGAAGGCAGTCCTTGAAATTTATCATTGCAGAACACCATTTTCTAGATCCCCATGTTTCTCTCCTATGCTTGGAATAACATTAAAATCCCCTATTAGCAGCCAAGGGGAGTGAGCAAAAGGGGTTGCTTGGAGGGTAATGTCATCCCACAAGGTCTGTCTCTCAATGGTACAGTTAGCAGCATAAATAAATGTAGAGAAGAAAGAAATATTAAGACCAATGAGTGAAATGTTGCAGTGAATTACTTGTCTGCTGCACTGAATAATAGAGAGGTTACTAGTATTTGGGTTCCACATTATCCAAATTCTACCAAGGTCAGAGAATAGATAATTATCTGTGATTGACCACTGTGGGGCAATGAGTCTATTGATGGCTGCCATGTTCGAGATGGCCACTTTGGTCTCCACTGTGGAGACTAAATCAAGTTTCTTCTTAGAAATTGATTAATTTCTGATTGTTTAGAGGGTTGATTCAACCTTCTAATATTCCATGTGAGAAGTGACATCATTGGAAGGGTGGAGAGAAGTGACCTTCAACATGCCTTGGGCTAGCTGAATAACGCTCAAGCATCAACTTTTGATTGTGGATAGACTTCATTCTTGCAAATCTCTTGAGGCTCCTAGCTGTCAATTTCCCTTATTGGGTTGATGGATTACAGTAACCTGGATCACTTAATGAGGAAGTGGCCATGAGGTGTTTGGGGGTAATGTTGTTAGGACGTGTAGTCATTGGAGAATGAGCTCTCATTTTGAGGGACTTGGGTTTTTTGTGGTTCTTATCTTGAGGAAGGGTTGTTGGTGTGGCAGTGTAGGTGTTATGGGATATTGGAGATGAGCAGTGGAGGGATGGCATGGATGATGTGGTATGCAATTGAGGGGTGTTTGGATTAGTTTTTGGATAGTGGAAGTCAAGCTTCCTACTACACAGGGGGAGTGAGCTGGAGAGGTAGATGTGGAGTAAGACTGTGATTCAGAAATGGAGTTGTTGACCATAGTATTGTTTAATGATGGGATTTGTGTAGATACAATTGGTGAGTCGAAGTTATCTGTGGAATTTTTAACATTGATGTCTTGATCATAATGTTAAAGTGGGGAGAAGTTATTTGTAGTTGTGGGTTTGGCAATGATTGGAGATGGTGGTTTAGAGACATTTGTAGGGGCTTTGTTTTTCTTCTTTCTCACTGTAACCCACTCTGACGTAGGTTGGACTACAGGGCTGTGGTCCTTGTGTTTGGGAGATGAGTTAATTTGTGAACCCTTACCATGAGCTGGATGAATGTAAGTGAGGGGGCAATTTACCTCTGTGTGGTTGAGGGCTCTACATTTGGGACAAATTTTAGGTAACCATTGGTACTCAATTCCAATATCAACTACTGACATGTCATCCATTCTAAGCTGAACTTTATTTTTCAGGGCTTGATTGAGGTCGAGGTTAACACAGATCCTGGCAAACTTCGGCTTTGTCCTTGCTTATGTGGCTTCATCTGCAAACAATGGCTCCCCTACAGCACTAGCAATGTGGCTTAGACCTTTTGCTGTCCAATAGTTATGAGGGACATTATAAAATTTGGTCCAAATAGGAAGGCATCCCAATTTGGTGGGTTGAGGTTGGTTGGTGTTGGTCTATTTCATTAATGAGAAAGGGTGTCCAGCTATTGACCATGGGCTATGTGGCAACACACATTCAGTCTGTAAAGTTGTCTTGAATCTGAAGATGAAGGTGTTGTTTTCCCCTATGATGGTGTTGGTTAGACCAAATGACTTCCACAATTTATCTGCAGCATTCTGTATTACCTTGTAGGGGAGTTTTTTGTGAATTGAGAACCCCACTAAATGATAAAATGACCAGAATTTGAGACCTTCATTAACCACCTCTCTTGGAGGTTCAATGACATTTGAGCATTCAAAGGTGGGGGCTATATATTCAAACTTCATTTTATTGGTGCCTTGCTGAACTACATTGGACCAAGTCAATGTGTTAGGTGGATGGATAGGATGTTGTGCTGACTTGGTTGGTAGAGATAAGTGAGTAATAGGGTGAGTTATGTCAGTTGGTGAAGTAGCTGGTATGACTATAAGTATGTCATGTGATGGTGGTGGTTGGGCTTTATTTTTATGCTGGATAATAGGTGCAGGGGTAATGGTATGTGGAGAACATGTGCTATTGTTACCTCTTTGGGAAAAAGGGTGTAAAGGAAGCCTGCAAAAGAGGATTGAACAGTGCAGTGGTTTTGAATTTCAAATTTGAATTCGAACCTGGGGCCACCAGTGGTGGATGAGCCTCTGATGTAGCGGTGGAGATGGAGATTGGTGGTGGAGGTGGATGTGCCTCGACTGCTACTTCTGGTGCTGCTGCTGAGATGGGAGTGATAGTGGCCATGGAGGTAATGATAGTTAATGATGCTGGTGGTTTCTTTGCCTGTGCTATGATATCCCCAGTGCTGGTGTTGAATATGAGAGGGGGTGGATGTGTCTGAGGCTGATTTGATTTGAGCATTGCAACTTCATCTCTCAGTTCTGAGATAATCTTGTTCTTTTCATAATGCATGTTCATTGATTTCCCCAAATTCTTTTCAGACCATTCAAGTTGTTCTTGCAACCTTGCAATTTGATGGCCAGGTGAGTTATAAAGCAGTGGATTGAAGTTTCTTGGGGGGTATGTATGGGGTGGTAATTTATCATGGTTTATGGTTCCTGAACTGTGTAAAGGAGGTTTTGATATCTTTTGTATGATGGGGTTGTTACTTGGTAATTTCCTAGTTTGTAGGTTCTTGGGTGGTTTTGATTGATATGAGTTGTGAGGTAACTGTATGTTGTTTGGGAATGTAGCATGTTTGGTTGATGGATGTTGGTTCGGAACATGATGTTGAAGTTGTTTGGGAAGGGCTGGATGTTCGGATGTAGATGCTGAATTGGTTCGTAATGTTGTTTTCAAGTTTGTCGTGTCTTTATCTTATATAAGGCGAAGACTTGTGAGACGTGTCACTAGAGTCCAAGATGTGTAACTAAGTGTTATTTGATAAAATTAAAAATTAAGTAATGAAAATTTTAAGTCGTAATTAAAAAATAAATATTTATTTATATCTTTTTAAATTTTCAACGTTCAACATTCAGTTATAAGTGATGTCTCTATCATTTAAAATTTTACCTCACTTTAAGTGGTGTTTACCATTTTTAGTAACATTCAAATTGTTTTATCAAACGCGTTTAATTACTTAAATGCGTAATCTATCCAGAATTAGACACTAAGTTAAATTATTAAATACCACCTCAGTATTCAAAATGTATCAATCAAATATATGGAATAATAAAAATTACTTTTAAATTATAAATACAAACATGTATCAAGTAGTGTTTATAACAAGATTACTTTGTAGAAGTGTGTGCATAATTCCTACTCATGAGCCATAATTAAATATTTTTTCTAGGATATATATACCATACCTTAAAATAAATAAATAAATAAATAAATAAAGTTGTGTAAAAAGTGAACTTGTATTATTTGTAAAAAAATGTACGTATATGTGTATATAATACACACAATGACACACACATACATTATTAGGCGAGGTTGTCGTCACTCGCCTTTTTCACTTCTTAGCTCGGCGGGTGACGCAAACAAAACTCTTTTTTCTTCACAAATTGCCGGCAAAACCATTTTCACCCTTCATTTGCACAAATGGCCTTTCCACGTGTCACTCGACAACCCATGTCCGTACATCACGCTCTCCACCTATAAAAAAGCTTCTCTCACACTTACCACTTCCCTTTCGCTCTCTCTACTCTCTCTCTCACACAGAGTATCTCTCCTCCACTCGATATGGATACCCTCCTCCTCCACTGCCCATCCATGACCAAGCGCCCCTGTTGCTCCTCCCCCTCAAACCCTAGGGTTTCCAAACTCGACCGCATGGACCGCCTCCTCGAATCGTTTCTGGATCTCTCCGATTCCTCCACTCTCTCTCTGGACCTCTCCTTCGATCGCCTTCTCGAATCTAGGGCTTGCGATTCGGACCAGAACGACATGATCGAGCGTGCACTCAGGCTTGGCTCTGTCCTTCTCGAAGCAGGCAAAAGATCTGCCAGAAAGCGCGCCTCCATGCATAACGCCGTCGTTTGGGCCTTATCTCCTGATCTCACTATCAAAGTATGTTTCTCTTCCGTAGTGCGTTGATTTTGTTGTGTGAATTCTAACAGTATTGTGTGGTCTTCTTACAAAATTTTGATGCTGCATTTGGAGTTCAATTTATGAGGTTCATTTTTTTTTTTCCTTAATGTTTTGAGAATATTATGAATGTGTGAAATGTCCAATTTTTATGACTCTTTCGATGCGATTTTGAAGATTTGCACTTGATTTGTCATAGGACTTCAGAAGTACTGAAGCTACGGCAAGTCTAGTGAGTAGTGAGCATTTGTAATGTTCACTTTATCATGTCTTTAGTTATTGAGGCTTGTATGTTGCTTGATCTACTCTATATTTGAATTTGGGAAATTGAGAGGTAGTAGGAGTGTATTTAAAATTGTGGATTTTGAACCGAATTCTTATCTGGGGATGGACCTCATAAATTTAACGATGTAATGGTGATATTTGTTTGAATTATTGGAAAATCATGAATAGTGAATGATATTTGGAAATGTGGCCTTGTTTACATGAATCTGGTTGAGTGAGTTATTGCAGTGGCAAGATACCAGTCATAATGATGATGGGTTATTTTACTGTTTCTGACTGTAATGTCTGATTGCTTTAATTTATGTGTTGGTTTTCAGGTTTTTTCAATGCTTGATACGCAGAGTGTATGCTATGCTGCAGCTACATGTTCTCTTTTCCAGAAGTGTGCCATGGATCCTTCTTGTTATGCCGATATAGACTTGAGAACAGTAGTCCCAAAGGTCAATAATGTGGTTGTATCTACCATGGTTCAACGAGCTGGGAAATCTCTTCAGTAAGAGTTCTTGATTCAAGCATTAAGTTGATGCCTTGTTATTATCTCTTTCTTAAGCTGCATTTCACTTTAATACTGTACAACTGCATCTCCATTTGTGAACAAAGACTATAATGTTTTTGACTAAACCATCTAACTATGATTTGATAAATCCCTCTTGGTTTCCATATTTCTTGGTACAGCCATCAGTTACTTGTACTGAACATCACTCTTACATTTTTTTAAGTATGCAATTTACTGAAAGCAGTCAGCTGTCATGAAAGTTAATGAAGCAAAATGATATTATTCCTACAGTAGCTGTGAGGTTGTTCCATGTCTAACTGACTAAGGTTCAGTAAGGACTCATAGATTTAATGCATTGATAATCCATATCAATTTGTATATATAGATGTATTGACGTAAGCAGAAGCGATAAATTTGTTCACAATGAATGGTTTACTTTGAATCCACAAAGTAAGTGTTTTGAATCCACAAAATTCTGAAATATTATTGATAAAAGGTTGAATGAATCTGCTTTCTCCATGACATATATTTATAATGAAAGAAAACCTAATACTAGAAAGAAACTAATTCTAGAAATAAGTCTTAAAAATAAATTATCTCTAAAAATTCTTATAAAAAAATAGAGAAAGACACATCATAAAATAAAACTACTAAATATAAAATCTCAGAGCATTAAGGCCTTCATTAAGGCCTTGAACAAAAATCTCGAAATAATCAGCAGATCTCCTAAACACAACAAAACGCGATTTCGGAGCCCTAAACGAAGGTTTTCAGTCGAAAACCGGCATGGCCCACAAGCTAAAGCTGGTGGGTTTTTCTCAATGCGCCGTTTCCATCCAAAAAAACACTATTGGTTTGTCGAAAACGGACTTGTCGAACTGTTCAGAATTCTGTCCTACATCATGGATTGTCCCTCCCTCCATATTTGTTCTCTTCCTTTTTGGTAGAAGCTGCATGCATAATTGGTCAGTTACCAGTTGGTTGAAGTAAACTTGTGGGATGCTTTGGCTTAATATGCTTTCACAAGTAATAGTTGCCATACATAGCTAGACCTTTATGCCCCTATGACTATCCCTATAACAGTAGGGTCCCGGCCCCGGCCAAGGAGAAGATTGCTCTATGAGAGCAGTGAAAATAAATTCTAGAAATAAGTCTAAAAATAAATTCTCTCTAAAAATTCTGAAAAAAATAGAGAAAGAAACATAATCAAATAAAACTACTAAATATAAAATCTCAGAGCATTTTGACTTCGTTAAGGTCTCGAACAAAAATCTCGAAATAATCCGCAGATTTCCTATACACAATAAAACGCAATTTCAGAGCCCTAAACGAAGGTTTTCAGTTGAAAACCAGCATGGCCCCACAAGCTAAAGCTAGTGGGTTTTTCTCAATGCGTCGTTTTCACCCAAAAAACACTATTGGTTTCTCGAAACGGACTTGTCGAACTACTTGTTGAACTGTTCGGAATTCTATCCTACATCATGGATAGTCCCTCCCTCCATATTTGTTCTCCTCCTTTTTGGTAGAAGCTGCATGCATAATTGGTTAGTTGCCAGTTGGTTGAAGCAAACTTGTGGGATGCTTTGGCTTAATATGCTTTCACAAGTAATAGTTGCCATACATAGCTAGACCTTTACGCCCCTATGACTATCCCTATAACAGTAGGGTCCCGGCCCCGGCCAAGGAGAATATCGCTCTACGAGAGCAGTGACCGATTCTTCGCGTTGAATCTTCTGGTCCGCCTCCCGTTCTGCCTTAGCCATTCGTTCCCTCTCTTTTTCCCGTAGTTCGTTCATTAAATCTGGATATTGCCTGTGTCCCTTGTGGCACTCCACCCTTTCAAGCACTTGCTCAAAGCTTAGCTCCCCCCATACCAGAGCCTCCTGGTCACGCTTGAGTGGGCATGCGTACAATGAAGGAACTCGATCAATTTTCATATTGGCTCGACTCTATGGACTGAATCATACTTGATCTGAACTCCTGCTGAGAGTTGGGCCAGATCTGCATGCAATAAACCCATTTAATAGGGTGTTATCAATTCACATAACCTTTTATGTGAAAATATTATGACAAAAGCATGCACCAAACCACCCAAATCTGAGTCACAATGGAAATTCCCACATAAACTAGAACTAATTTATAAAATATTAGGCACCAACCATGTGCTAAAGGACATAAAAGGCTATTGTACTAACCCTCTTGTGTGGAGCTTGCAGCATGCAAATCTTTGCCACTGCTCCAATTTCTCCTTGAAAAAAAAAACTGATTGTAAAAACTTATGAATTACATGCACCATACAAAGAAAAGCTATTGTACAAACCCTCTTGTTTGGAGCTTTCACCATACAAATCTCTGCCACTGCTCCAATATCTCCTTGATAAAGAGGAAAAAAAAAGAAAGCAGATTATGGAAACTTGTTATTTAAATGCTCCTGTATCGTTTATCCAGGTTGTTTGGTACTGAGGGATCAGGACAACATTGAAAGCCTTCATATTAAAGAGTCCACGAAGGCTATATATATTCAAAAGTTAGCATTGAGTTTGGCCATCTAAGTCTGATTATCTAGAGATGATTTTCCATTATGAGTAATTTGCTGGTTTTCTCTATGGACTATCATGCTGACAATGCTCTATAATATATATTTTTCATTTCACAGAAAAAAAGAAAAAGAAAAATGATTATCACATTTTTGTTTTTAAATTCAGATCTCTGAAGCTTGGTATAGTGCCTGGCCCAACCGCGTCACCTGGATCATCTCAACCATTAGTTTATACTATAAGGAACTCTGCAGATGCATCAGGATTTTCATGGAATGATAAGAGATCTAGACAAGGAAAGGAGTCATCTATTCTTACAAGGTCCTGCTTGAATCCTTTGGGTGGTGATAATGGTGCTCCAGGGTATGGTTTGATACTTTGACTTCACAATATGTATTGGTGACTTTTATTGTTATTAATATTTATTTTTTATTGTTAGGTTTCTTTTGAGGAGATTGCACCTTTACAACATCGAAAGAATGGATAACGCAGCACTTTGTGCAGCATTATCATTCTGCCCGTCTCTCCTTGATTTAGAAATTGTTGGACTGTAAGTTTCATGAAGCTGATTTTATCTTGTGTTGGATTTTTTGTTTTCTTACCATCTTTTTTAGATGGTGGTTGCTGGACATTTTGTATTTATGGCATTAATTTGTATGTCTATGCATGGATGTCGATGCTTAATTTTAATATTTTTGAAACAATGGTTACAACAGAATATAAATACATACCTGAAATCTTATTATGGAAAACATTCATTATTGTCTCCTTTCTTTAACATTTACATATGATGAATTGGTGAAATAGTGGGAGAGATTGACAATGGACTTCAAAGTCTTCGGTACATAAAGATTGTCAACATTAGTCTCTAATTCTAGGGTGAAAAGTGGTGAGAAAAGAAGTATTATATTGGGAATTGATTTTGGGATGCTAGAGAGAAGGAAATAGAAGAAATACAAGAGAAATATGTAAAGGCTTGAATGAGATGAATTACTCATTCATAGCTCTAGTAATTATATATAAAACGAGCACATGTTAATATTACAAGAAAGGAATTAAATAAAATCACTGCAGATTCTATGCCTAGACGTATGCGTAAATAAAGTCAAACTCCATTATTTAAGGTTATCGTATATTGGCTAATATGGTAAGTCACATCCCATAATTCGTGACATCCACTCTTCAAAAGTAATGAAGTACCCGTGTCGGACACATATTGCTCGGACATAGGTATGAAATATGTGTTCGACACTTTTGGTTGGACATTTACTTAAAAAACATATCCAATCATTCAATTTTATCATATTATTACTTTAAAATGATTTGTTGCCTATATTGAACACTTTGTTACATAAAAATGTTACTTTATTCTTGAAATTAAAATAAAATAATTAAATAAAATGAATATTTAGTAGTGTCCATGTGTCATTTTGTTTGGAGATTTGACACGTTCGACGCATGGATACATACCCGTACCCGATACTCGTACTCGAATCCATGTAACATAGCATATATCTGCTAACATGGTAAGTTACATCCAAATCATCTCGGGAATGTACCAGAGCTATACTCAATCCTTAATTAGGTGTCATGTCAAGCCCCCGCCTAGGAGGTTTTGGGTAGGCAGGGTGATCTGATCGCAATGAGGACATTGCGAGTTTGACACCATCCATTCGGGATGGTTTGAAGGAGTCAGCGCCCACCTGAGAGGTGTCGGGTAGGCAGGGCGGTCCGACCGTAACGAGAGCATTGTGAGTTCGGCACCACTCATTCGGGAATGGTCTGAGGAGACATTGTTGATGGTTTATGGTTTGCGGGACATTGGTGATTCTTTCATTTACATATTTTAAACATGTGTATGAAGGAAATGATACATGGTTGTTTGTTTATGGTCTGAGGAAACATTGTTGATTGTTTATGGTCTTAGGAGACACTTTGATTAGTTGAATGGTACTTCATTCGAGAGAAATCCATCTCCATTTGCACTCCGCAACTTGTAGGCATTTTGACGAAGGGTGTTAGTAAGACCGTGTTTGAGGATGCATTGTCCAAATTGAGCATCTCAGATATTCACGCACCAACTTGAAGGGGAGTGTTAGCCGCAATATGTTAGCCTAGAATCGTGGGATTTAATGGCTTAATTAGTGGCATTTGACCACGTAATTATTATTATTATTATTTCTTAGTTGGTACTCCCACACACATGACTCCACTGATTTAATATCATAATTAATGGGGTTTGACCACATAATTATTGTCATAATTAGTGGGTAATTAGTGGATTTGACCACGTAATTATTGTAAATTATATTTTTGACTAATATAAATACATGGCTGTAAAGATGTCAGAAATATCCTTCAAACCTTTACATATCTTTTTTGCCATTTAAATAGCTTTTCTGGCTGTATTTTTTGTAACTCCGCCCATTTCATAAAGTATTCGACCAGGTTTAAGTACCAATAAAAAAGATGATTGTCGCTATTGGACGATGAAATGGATTTTGGAATTAAGTAATATTCTCTAAAAAAGGTACTGTTAATAATCCCGCAGGTACTGAAACCATTAAAAGAACACCCAATAATTTATTGGGTACTGTAGTGAGTATTTGAAATACGGGAAAGAAATACTATTCATGTTATATTTCCAAGGGGGTTGCTTTTACAGAACTTCCTTGTATCATCAAACCGTCACCCATTATCACAACACCAACATTGTTTGATTGCAAATTCAAAGCAATGCCTATTGTAACCTCTTCAAATTCTACTAATTCACCTGCCATTACCTTATCAAGACCATGAATACGAGCGATGCCATCGCCTACTTGAAGTACAGTATTGGTACTCACAATCTTTACTTCTCTATTATATTGCTCGATACGTTCACGGATATTACTGATTTCGCATCTCAAATGGTTATCAAGTATTTCTTAATTCTTTTTTGAAAGCAAAATAATAATAGTAATAATAATAATAATAAGTCTATAGTAGAAGGATTAATCGATTCCATCCCATGATTGGGAATAAGGCACCCTTAGCCCATAGATGCGGATAAGGAGTCAAGATTGAAGCCCCCTTAGATCTGCAGGCACTTGACAGGGGTTAGTCAACTGATACTTCAACAACTGATCCGGGAACAACCAAAGTGCACTTATATTCAACTTGTGCAAACTCGTTGGATTCTAAATTGCGAAGCGAAATATAGAAGAAGGATGTGGATAAAATGGAAGGGTGAGAGAAAGAATATCAATGATATATGATTCCAATATGTAAGGTAAGGCAGTGTAATAAAGCATCAATATTGATTCATCCATAATAAAAGAAATTGTTCACAAAACTAAAAAAGTCTTCCTAAATATCAACTTCTTTTGTATTCCTTTTATATCTGGCATATCTACACCCGTGCATTTATATTAGTCAGAAAAATAATTGACAATAATTATGTGGTCAAATCTCACTAATTATGCCCACTAATTATGACAGTAACTATGTGGTAAAATCGTGCTAATTACGCCCTCAAATCCCACGATTCTTGGCTAACACTCCCCCTCAAGTTGGTGTGTGGATATTTGAGACATCCAACTTGGACAATGCATCCTCAAACATGGTCTTGCTAGCACTCTGTCTAAATGTTTGCAAGCTGTGGAGTGCAAATCTGATCAGATATGATTTTCTCTTGAAGTTCGGCACCTAATCACGTCTCTTATGACCATAAACAACCAACAATGTCTCCTCATACCTTTTTTCTTCATACACATCTTTAAAATATGTAGATGAAAGAATCAACAATGTCTTCTCAGACCATTCCCAAATGGGTGGTGCCGAACTTGCAATGCCCTCGCTACGGTTGGACCACCTTGCCTACCCGACACCCCTCGGGTGGGCGCTGTCTCCTCAGACCATCCCGAATGGGCGGGGTGCCAAACTCGCAACGTCCTCGTTCTGATTGGACTATAAAATCAAAGCTTTGGGTTAGTTTTCTTAGTTGGTGAAATAGTAATTATGTTGATCAAGCAATAGCCCAAATATTGGTGTATTTTCATTTGGAATCTTTGTTATAGAGGCTGGGATCTTTTCCTCTCCCAACCCATAACTCATTGTGGTTCCTAATAATAGACACCCAGACATGCCTTTGACAACACTATCTCTTCCTTAGATAGCATTCTTCTTTTGGGGTCCAATAGAGTGGCACTTCCATTTTTCGCTCACTATATCCAATAGTGTGACACTTCCTTTTTCGTCATCTTATTGCATTTAATGAAACAAAAAAGTCTGAGGGAAAAGAAAAAGCTTCCAACAGTCAGTTTTCTAGACAGGTTGATGTACAATTGCTGGCTATGTTTAAGTTTTTTAGATAGGTTGGTCTGCAATAGCTGGGCTGGCTATGTTTAACATTTCCTTCTTCACATGAAAACCCACTCGGTATTTTGAATATGGTATGGCCTTAGTAAGCTAGAAATATGTCATCCCTTATTGATGTAGTATCTGTATATGATGCAGAGACAGTGGATCACATTTTTTGCATTGCCATGCGGTTTGGTCTTGGGGTGTGGGACTTGTTAGTTTGGAATTCCTTGGGGGCACTGTTGGTGTTTGTGATGGATTTTTGCCAGGTGGTGATTCAATTTGAAATGTTCCAGGAGTTCGTTGAATACAGGTGGGATCAATGTGCTTTAGCTGTAACAAATAAGCATTGAGCTATCAAAGTTGAGCAAAGATTATCTAGGACCCCTGTTTTAGGAAGATATAAGCTTAAGTTTTGGAGCTAGTAAAGCTTAAAGGACGGTTTTTTGCCTTTTTTGATCAGTATGCTTAATGGAGGCAATCTTGGAGAGTTAATGGAATTAGATTGTGATTTATTGGTTTTTGTAGAATTACAGATTGAACGGTGCTTACAGCATACCTTGAATGAGTCTTGGTCTCTTTTTCGAAGTCACCACTTTCAATGATATTTGTAACTGGAGAGGGAGATGAATAGGGGGGGACTATAAGTTATCTTGGTCTGTTCAGTGAACGAGCATGCATCACTGAGGAAGAGAGAAAGGAAGGGATGATGGAGGAAGACTTGCTATGAAAGTCCTTATGACTGTGTCACCATGTTCATGAAAGAGGAGGGAAGGAGGGAAGAAGGCTGTGTGTGTGTGTCTCTTAGTGTGTCTTCTGTTAGCAAGCACATGTGATTGAAGAAGGGAAGACTTGCTTTTAAGTTAGTCCTCCTCCTTTTATCTGCACCATAAGAACAGAGTGTTCCTTTACTTCTGAAAGGTGTGAAGTTACCAATAAAAGGAGACAATTTATGTTAGTATACATGTGCTTTCTGTTTATTTTGATTTTTCCTTTTTGTTTCCTTTGTCAGTTTGTGTTGTCTTTTGAACTGTATGCTGAGTATCCTCAACTGGGAACTTGTTTTTTCGTTAACAGTCATGTTGAATTGAGGCAAACATTGGAGTCAGTGAGCAGGCACTGTCACTTGATAGAGCGCTTGTTTTTTGAATCTTCTAAAACAGGTGTTCTTTTCTGCACATGGTTTTCCTTTTCTCATGCCTGTTGAAATTTTTTCTTACTTTGTATTTCTCATTTCAGGTAGAGATGACAGTCTGAAACTGCCAACCTGTAGTGATCTAGTGAACAATTGTCCTCATATAACTTCATTGGCACTCAGAGGATTTAAGTTGCATGACTACAAAGCCCGTGTGCTTGTCAAGGTACATTTTTTGCAATTTCAGAAGTATTCACAATTCGGGGCCTTCTTTGCCCTCTTAATGAGCCATTTTTTCATTCAATTTTATTATAAAATGGCAAACCAAACTTTCCTAGTTTTTATTTGAATGTCACGATTCAATTGTTGTTTCATATAATCCCTAATACATGCTTGAGTAGAATATGGGCTAGGAGGCCACACTTCTATGTAGGGTCATAGCGGTGTCTGACACACGTAGGAAACGTGTCAAACACACCTCAGATAAGTGCCAAAAGTGTTGATTCTTCTTTCAAAATTTATAAATCAGAAGTGTGATGCATAATACTAAAAAAATTGAAAAAGAAAAGGAGAAAGCATAAAAGTGTGAGAATTTTCTACTAAGAAGAAAGAGGGAGATGGAGAGGGAGACCAAAACCAACATGGGATGAGGTTATTAAAAATGGCTTTAAAAAGTTAAATATAGTAGGTGAAATGACATGTAATAGAAAAGATTGGAGGGAGAGACTTCATGCGGCCGATCCCATTCATATGGGATTAAGCCAAGGATGATGGTGATGATGAAAGAGGGAGATGGGTAATTGCATATTTAAAATCTTGATGGATTGTCAATTAGAAGTTGGTCTGCACAACCCTTTATAATGTGCACAAGTTTGACCTGTATGGTCCATTAATAGAATCTTGTATAAAGGCGCTTTCTAAGAAGTGTTTCATACGTTTCAATTTAATTATTTTTAAAATTGTTTTCATCAAACCCATGTAAGCCATAACTCTGTGGTTCCTAATAATACACAATCCTGGGATTGACTGGATAGAGATGTAAATTTTGATATTTTTTACATAAGGTGGTTGTCCTCATAATCAAACCTACATTCTCCCACTTGAAAACCTGATCTTTTACCACTGCACCAAGCGTTGGCCCCTTTGTTCTCGTCAAGGCTATCAGCTCTAAAGTTGATTGGTTTGGTATGTTTTAAGTAAGGTAGGACTTTATTTGGTGAATTATTCTCAGAATCACTTTCCTTTTTATGTTCTTTATTTTTTAGGGCCTGATCAGAATATGTTCATTTGAATTTAACTAGATCTAGACATGTTGATCTATCCTGAAACACTAGAGACACAAAATTTAGCATACTGTCAAATGTGGATTTTTAACTGACAAGTATCATGGTTGTGAATTTTTTATACAGAAATTTAATTCAAAATTTCAAACAGCGTTGAAGCTAAATATTTCCGTGTTATTTTATTCTGTGCAGGGATTTCGTAAACTGAAATATATGGACTTTTCAACATCTTACTCAATAACTGGTGCCTTTCTAAGGTAGGTGTATGATGTATCCCTGTGAAATATATGGACTTTATAAAATTGTTCGGCCTGTATTTCCATTTGAAATTTTCTCCTCGGTTATTTGTCGTGACTTTTGTCGCTTTCAACTCTTTAGAAACCTTGGGGGCAGTGCAGGTGGGAATCTGCTGGAGGTACTGATTTTGCGGGATTGTATGCATCTCAAAGAAGTGAGTACCACAAATTTTCTCCACCTGTATGTGTCTCCCTCTCCCTCCCACCCTAGATAAATCATGTGCAGTTGAAAAGTGAGTACTACAATGTCTCTCCATTTGTATGTGTCTCCCTCTCCGTCTTACCTTTGTTGCGTCATGTGTAGTTGGAAGTTGCTCGCTCTTTGACAGCAGTTATTGCAGGAGATTTCAAGCTCCTTAGACATCTTGTGAGTATAATATTACATGTTCTTTTGAATTTTCTTTCTCTAGCATTTGTATATGTTTTGGTTAAAATATAATAGAAATAGAAACATTGGAGTAGATTTTTTTTTTCTTTTTTTTTTTTCGTCCGTATCTTGGACTTCCCCTTTTAAGTTTCTCTGTGTCTTCAAAACAGGACATATCCAACAGGGAAGGTCTAGCGTCTGAAGGTGACTGGTACAATAGATGTTACAATTTAAGGTAGTGGTTCTCTCTTTTATACTGTTTTTTGATTGTGTCTTGTTTGTGTTCACTATAGTAATTTGGTGTATTGTGCAGTAATATTCCCGTAAAGCAATTGTTGGAGGAAAGGCCCGACTTCTGCTTGCTGGCTGAGTTTCCTGCAGAAGGAAGGTTGGTTTATCCTTTATTCATCAAGATTGATGCCAACAGAACTTGAAATTACTTTCTTTAACTGTTTGTTTGGGACTGCCTTGTCTGTTTTTGCAGTTTCGTCGAAATTGAACAAATGATTGGCAGTGATATAAACAGTGATATCAGCTTGCCATCACCGCTAAGTAGCCACACGTCAGATGGATCATTGTTCATTTCTTCATCAGAGAGCAACTATAGTAGTGATCAGGGTAGTGGTAACGAGGATAGCCGAGATCACAGCTTTGTAGTTTATGAGGAAAGCTCAGACGAGGTGGATATTATGCCTGGTTAAGAGAAACACCTAGCACCGCAAGAACAAGAATTTGCAGCCACTAAACGAATTTGGTATTGCTCTCCCTCTTTCTCTCTATAGTCTCTACACACACACACGCTCATATATGCACGCGAAGTATAGGAATGAGCTTGTAATATATGTAGCTGTTATGTTTTCAATTGTACTGGTTTCGGCTGCATGAGATGTTCTCTTTCTTTGTAATTAGAATTCATTTATCTGTTATAATGCTTGGGGGCAGTCAGCCAATTTCTGATATTGTGGTCAAGCCAGGCCTATGCTGAAGGTTTGTCCACTTCAAAGTAAAACCAAAGTGGTATCAGATTACAAAATTCTGGAAGATGATGCCTAGCCTAGCCTTATTTCTTATATTCAAGTTAGCAAACAATATAAAATGGTTATCTAGTCCATAGCTGGCGGGTTTTTCGGTTACCGGTCTTAAGTTCATCTAATAGCAAGGAGTACAACTGAAACTTCATTGTGTAGTGATATTAATTGAGGAAGTTGTCTCTATGATTACTTATTGATGAAATAACAAATGAAACTTCGGACAAGTCATCCAAAATTTCAACTTTTATATTGAAAGGAGTTGAGTACAGTTCTCTGATTAGAGATTCTGTTGCTGGTATATTTTCCCCAAAATTAGCTTCTCTTTTTCCTTGCTAATTGTGTAGTGATTTAGATCCGTAATAATTAAAATCTTATATGACCTTTTCATTTCTTGTTTGTATGATCTTATGTTTATTCATAATTCAGGGACGAGATGTTTTTGTGGAGGTCACGCTGAAATAAGATTGTGGTATGTTAAGCTTATGTTCACCTTGACGTGCAATCTAATGCATACCCTTGGAGCAGAAGATGACCGGAAAACTTCGCAAGTGCAGAGATATCGCAGTTTGGTTTTTTAGTCGAGAGCATGTTTTTCATTGTACTGCTTGCCTAGAGAGAGATACAACTGATGGAGCAGCAATGGGAGGGGTCCTTTTATTCACCCTTTCTAGCACCAGCCGTTACCTTGTTTCCATTCAGTTTCATTGAAGGCCATTATATTTTTCAGTTCATTTTTTATTATAACTGCAGCTGTATAACTGTGTAAGTATCTTTCTGTGGATTTCTGAATTTATTTTATTTTATTTCAAATGGTCGCTTTCACCATGTTAGCCTTCTACAGTTATGTTTATTTCAGTGCAGTTGTTCCCTTCAGTACTCGAACAAAGTCATACAGAGTTATATTACCCCCATTAACTGACAATATAAACGTTTTGGCCGTTTCTACGTAAAAACCTTTTCACATTCTCCTGAGTCATATAGCCCTAAGTATAATTATGCATCTTAATGCTTCTATTGGATTTTCTCTCTATTTGCTGCATTTTCAGGATGTAGTAACGCTAAAGAATCTTAATATGACATAGTTTTAAGAATTGGAAAAGTAGCCAAATTTTTTTTCATTTCTTCTCACGAGGTGGATTCATCTCCTTTTTAATCTTTTAACCTATTGAAGCTTTGGATCGGAGTTCATAAACTCACCTAAGCCAGTCTGTTACAGTTTGCGAGGGTATAGACGAAACCCACCGCACCCAAATCAGGTGATTTGAAAGAAGATAACTGTAAAATTACATCCCGAGGTCTCTATTATTTTGGCAATACAGCAGTTGAACACTATTGAATATGAAAGAAAATGAAAAGAACTTATAGCAACCGTATTGTTACTGGCCATTTGCAATCCGATTTAAAAGCTTATTAGAGTGTTTAAATCATATCATTTAAATTATACAATTTTTTTTAAGTGTGTATAGACGTCTAATTTTAGTCAACCCGCTCTCATATATATATATATATATTAAAGTTATAAACAGGTAGAAAATGTCATAGTGGGTTAATTTTAAAAAGGATTAAGTGCCAAAAAAAACCCCTTGAAGTATATTTGAATTTGTAAATAACTCCCTTGGACTATATTCTCAAGGACTGTATTATATTTCATTAAATGGCCACAATGCCCTTTCTTATTGAATTACATTTAATATATTTTTCTTATCTAAATAAATTATGAAAACATTTATACTAATTTGATAAGATATTTTTCATTAAATTTGCATAAATTTACCTTTAATTTTTTAATTAAAAAATTTTAGTATAATTTTTTTTAAAAAATAATTAATTTTTTAATTTTTAATGAATATATTACATGAAAAGAAGGTATTTTTTTCAAAAGTATTTTATTAAAATTTTATCAATATATTGTATGAAAAAAATGATATTTTTTTTATGATAAAAATATTTAAATTGATTATAATAGGTTTTATTATAAATAATAAAATTTTAATAATAAGATAATCAATTTAGAAAATGATAGTTACAAATTTATTTATCTATTTGTTTTTCATTTTTATGATAAATTGATATTAAAAATAAAATTAAGGTAAATAGTATAATTAATATTTACATAAGAGAAAAAGAATAATTTAATAAGAAATGAAAATTTTAACGAGAAAGGATAAAATAATCTTTTATAATGAATTTGTTCTTAATTATAACAAATTAATAGTTAAGGGATATTTTTTGTTCAAAAAAATTATTTAGAAAAGAAGTTATTTTTTTGAACTTGACCCTTTAAAAATAAAAAAAAATAAAAAAAATAGATATAGTAAGTTAAATTTCCCAAATTAAGTCTTTTAAGTAATGAAGATGAGTTGAGGTGAGGATCGATATCGAACTGGTAATGGCAAGCAACAACAACAACCAGACACACCGTCCTTACAGACACCTGAAAACCCTAACCGCCCACACCCAAGCCGGACAAAAAACCCTAACCGCCCACACCCAAGCCGTGTCCTGCGTCAAGTTCTCCAACGATGGCACCCTCTTCGCCTCCTCTTCCCTCGACAAAACCCTAATCGTCTGGTCCACCGAAACCCTCTCCCTCGTCTCCCGCCTCGAAGGCCACTCCGACGGCGTCTCCGACCTCGCCTGGTCCTCCGACTCCCACTACATCTGCTCCGCCTCCGACGACCGCACCCTCCGCATCTGGGACGCACACGCGGCCGAGTGCGTCAAGACCCTCCGCGGCCACACCAACTTCGTCTTCTGCGTCAACTTCAACCCCCGGTCCAACCTCATCGTCTCCGGATCCTTCGATGAGACCGTTAGGGTTTGGGACGTCAAGACCGGCCGCTCCGTCCATGTCATTCCCGCCCATTCCATGCCCGTCACGTCCGTGCACTTCAATCGCGACGGCTCGCTTATCGTCTCCGGCAGTCACGATGGGTCTTGCAAAATTTGGGATGCCGACACAGGCGCGATCTTGAAGACGCTCATAGACGATAAGGTTCCTGCCGTGTCTTTTGCCAAGTTCTCGCCCAATGGAAAGTTCATACTTGTTGCAACTCTGGACGATACTCTTGTAAGTTTTAATTGTGTTTTCGTTTATTAACAATTGCAATTTTAATTAGATTTACACATGAATTGTTAATTATATCGTGAATGTTTTGATTTGATGTTGTAATGCATCAATTCAACAACATGGGATTGGTAACTGTGTAGGTAATTAGATTGTAAACACATTTAATCATCTTGTTTTTTTAGCTTTTTTTCTTGTAAGTTTTAATGGTGTTATCGTTTATTAACAATTGCAATTTTAATTAGATTTACACATGAATTGTTAATTATATCGTGAATGTTTTGATTTGATGTTGTAATGCATCAATTCAACAACATGGGATTGGTAACTGTGTAGGTAATTAGATTGTAAACACATTTAATCATCTTGTTTTTTTAGCTTTTTTTCTTGTAAGTTTTAATTGTGTTATCGTTTATTAACAATTGCAATTTTAATTAGATTTACACATGAATTGTTAACTATATCGTGCATGTTTTGATTTGATGTTGTAATGCATCAATTCAACAACATGGGATTGGTAAATGTGTAGGTAATTAGACTGTAAACGCATTTAATCATCTTGTTTTTTTAGCTTTTTTTTCCTTCTTTAGCTTAAATATGCCGTTTTTTGAGATACACTGATGTCATTAGCATTTGAATTACTGTTTCTGTAACTTAATTTGAGATTCACACTTCATTTGCTTGCTGAGAAAATTGAGGAAAATAAAATTTTACCACCAAATAGTTGTGTTAAATTCATTCAAGTGCGAATTTGAAAATTAAAAGGATTCAAATCTGAATTTCTTTTCAGTAGGGAATTGAGCTTAAAGAAGAAGGGTGATTGAAGATTTTTCTTTTTTTCTTTTTTTCCAGATAGATAATTCAGCTTTTAATTTATTTTCTTCTTTCTTGTTTGGTTGCAGAAGCTCTGGAACTACTCGACTGGGAAGTTCTTAAAAATTTATACTGGCCATGTGAACAAAGTATATTGCATAATGCCCACGTTTTCAGTCACAAGTGGGAAATACATTGTCAGTGGATCTGAGGATAAGTGTGTTTACTTATGGGATCTACAGGGGAAAAATATGGTTCAGAAACTTGAAGGCCATTCTGATACTGTCCTTTCTGTATCTTGCCACCCCACTAGGAATATGATTGCTTCCGCCGGCCTTGATAGAACTGTGAGAATTTGGGTTCAAGGTGCTTGAATTATTCAACATTGATATATTGGTTAGTTTCTCCCTTACAACTCATGAATGTAAATATTTTCCCTTTTATATGTTTCAGTGAGGGACGGAGGGGAAAATGCACAAAATATTATGTATCACTTATCTTGCATCCTTTAACTTTATAAGGGTACTTAACATATTAGTTATTCCATTGGTTGCAAACTTAACATATTAGCTATTCCATTGTTTACCTTGATTTCATGGTAGTTGCAATTTTGACTTGGATAAGGGAATCAAGCCAGATCACATTTGCTGTTTTCCTATGTCCTCTTTCTTGGATTTCAGCACTGCTTGTGCAAAAAGATCCCATTGCAGATGATTTACTGATTAAGAGGGATGAAAAATGTGCACTGCCATCTTATCTCCAATGATATCTGAGATGGAAGTGACTTCAGATTTGCTTGCTACAATACATGATTTTGTAGTAATTATATTTAGTTTGTGGATCACCTTCCCCATGAGGGAAAAAGTTTTCTACCCCCCTTCCAAAAAATTCCTGTAAGATGTCAGAATCTTCAAAGTACAATTTCAAAAACTTGTTCCTCTAAAGCTGAAATGGCCCTGAAAATTTTGAGATAAGATCAAATATTTATTTGGGAGCCTGAAATCTATGCAAGCACACCGAGACACAGGAGAAAAGACGATTGTGTGTTTCAGATCCTTCATATGTAAATGCTCCAGTTGAGAGGTTTTATCTTCATCCTTTATAGCTAGTAAGTTACAAGCATTGATCTTATTCTGAGTAACTTAAAGAATCACCTTAATTTTGGTAGCACCTTGTCGTTCAAATATGCTTGAGGAGTTCTAGAGGGTGATGATTTTGTCCTCATTCTAAGAGGCTAAAAATTGAAAAATTGTAAGAGCTTCTAGGCTACAAAACCCAAACCCTATTATAACAAATGAAGAAGATTTGATAGGTATTTTTTCATTGTAACAATGGAACTCTTTTGAAATGTAAATTCCAAATGCAAGATCTGGGAATTTGAGCACACATTTGTCATATAAAACATTTTGGTGAAGGAAACCAATCATAGGCATGTAAAATTAGACCAGAGAGGGGCACCTTTTCACCACGGGGTTGAATAAGGTTTCGAAGCCTGTAGTGAGATTATACTTTGATGTGTTTCAAGAAAGTGTGTTGTCATATGCAATGATTTTCTAGGACTTGTTATCTTTACCATATTCCAAATGGCATCCATATCTGCTATCTCCGGCAAACTGTAAACCCACCAAAATTTCAAGGTATATATCCTCATCCAACATGCTATAGTAAAATTAATAATGTCCTTTTTAACCTAGATTGTATCTAAATCTTATTGGGGCAAAGTTGTGATCAGTCAACCAGGTGATCCTACTTAGCTTCTGCTAATCTAGAAACAGTGTTATGTGCAAGTACATTTGCAATTCTTATTGGTTATTAACTTATTACTTTTTTTGAACTGTAAAGACGAAGTGGTAAGCTAATATGGGTGTTTAATCTTCCGCGTTAGCTATATTAGACTCTTTCAAAGCTGCTAATTGGTTACTAATAGGGGAAATTATTTTTCTTTTACAGGTAAGCCTCCGTATTTAACTGGCCAGTAACTAACTGAACAAACAAAAATAGAATCGTAAAGAAGAACCAGGAACCAGGAACTTTAGGGTTCCTCATGACATGTCAAAAACAAAATGAAGAGCACGGTTTCGTTCTGCAAAGTGGAGGTAAGCTATTATATCTCTATTTGCATCCATGGCAATGCGTCAGGCCCTGTTCAACATCTTGCATGATTCTACTGAGTATTTTAACTAATGGATGAAGAGAAAGGGGGAAAGAGGTACAAGTAAACTTGCTACTAAGAGTTCTGTTTTCAGGAACAAATAAAGATACCTTTTTGCGTATGAGGTCAACCAATACACCATATATTGTCTATCCTTTTCAACCCAATAATGGTGCAATATACCTCTTGTACATTAGGAACAATTGTCTTGGTTGCTGAATCTCATACAACAATCTTGATATACCTCTTTTAATAGATTTGATTGTTTAGCTCAATCCTTGTAATATAAATTATCTTAAGCAGTGTGTCTACAAATATTTAACGATATATTGTGATATATTGTGATGAAGCGGATTCTTTTTTCAGCCATTTATGTGATATATATTTCAGCCTTCTTGCATTACCACATTATCACTGCATGGTAAACTTGGCAGGAGAAAGTTATGTTATGCTAGTAGGTCAGGCAGATACCGTAGTTTACTACTAACTATTAAAGTCGATAATTATTCGTGGGACTTATATCTTAAGAAATTTTGGTGTGATAGCCTCTCTTTTTCGGTTCTCTTTAGGTTTTGTGACCCTCACGGTATGCATGGGGGAAAGAGGCTGCATTAGCGCAGCCAGCTTCCTCTGACCTGTAGGAGGAGTTGCTAAAGGTTGTCTTTGAACAAATTAAAGCATTCAGTGTAGTGGCTTAATTTATTTTTTCATTTAAAGTCCAATTTTCTTAGCCAAAGAGTTTAAAGAGATATGCAGAGCACTTGTCACAAAAACAATTCAGAGAAGGTTTCCTCCTTGTATTGGAAGGTTAACACAAGATATGCATATTGTAATTTCATCATTGCACATTATCAATTGACACAGATAGGGATGATTTATATGGTTGCGCCAAATTGGGATTGGATTGGGATATATTGCTATCCCACCAATCCAATTCCAAATCCAGGATAAGCTTTGGAATTCAAGTTTAATTGAATATCAATTTCAATTTCAATTTTATTGTCTTGATAACTTCATTCAGATCGATCGTGTCGGTTGAGTGAACGATGGAGAGAGAGGTATCAATTATGTTGGTTGAGTGACCGATGGATATTTGAAATTTCTGGTTGGATCGTGGGATTCAATTTGCTAATTTGGAATGTTTGGAATTGGTTTTGGAGCTTTCAATTTTAATTTCAAAGCTCCAACACGTGTCATTTGTTACTAATCAATGTAAAGAAATTAGGAGTGTTAGAAAAGAAAATAAAGATGAAGTAAACTTTGATGTTCTGATTCTTCTGAACATATTTAAATGGACCAGTATATGTGCCATTGTTAGTGAGAAAGGGAAGATTAGTGTGTGCGCAATAGAACATTGGCTCCATTCTCCTTTGTTTTTCTGGAGAGCTCTGATCCATTTCTCCATTGCATATTGAAATAATCATATAAGAAGAAATGCAAAGATATTCATAATAGCATATTGAAATAATTATCGAAGTCCTGAACATACCACCATTACCTGTAGTCAATCCACCTACTTCAAGCAATGTCTCAGCAGGCTTTCCCATAAACCATGCTCCTATACAGCCTATACAACCTATTTTAAGCTACCAAACAAACTGCCCTACTCTAGTCAACCCAATTGCTTTATCCACCCTAGCCCACCACATTAACAATACCACTGGCCCAATACCACCGGCACCAATTGACCAATAGTCAAAGAAATGGACTGAGGTGGTCCAGCATTGCCAAAGGAAAATGAACTTTGAATTCATTGAATCGTCGTCTCTCAATCCTTCCCTGGTTGACCCTCCACCTGAAGTAGCCCTTGAAGGTGTGAAATTTTGGGAATCATATCACCTTGTTGGAATCTCTACTCACAAAAGACTACCATTTAAAGTGGTTAGCTCTGCAGCAGCAAAGATCTGGAAATCACATGGACTCACTGAAACCATCTTGGGAGACGAAGGCTCTTTCCTTTTTAGATTTCACTCCTCGGAAGAGATTGACAAAGTGCTGTCATTGGGCCCCCGGACTATTGCTGGTCACCCATTTTCTCTTATGAAATGGTACCAATTTAATCTCTCAAAGACCTCAAAGTCCACTCTCACACCCACATGGGTCAAATTCTACAATGTTCCTCAGAAATATTGGACAGCCAAAGGGCTCAGTCACATTGCTAGCACTGTAGGTATCCCTCTTTATGCAGATCAAGCAACAGAAGGAAGACTTAAACTCAGGTATGCTAGAATTTGTGTCAACATGGATCTGTCAAAACCTCTCTTTACTGAAACTCAGGTTATGTTGGATGGAAGTCCTGTTGACATTGGTATTGAATACCAGTGGTTCCTAAGATTTGTAATCTTTGCAAAAAGCTAAATCACACTGAATCTTCTTGCCCATTAAAACACATCAACCATGAAGTCCCACCACATGCGAAGAATAACACCGGACCACTAAAGATAGCATCAAGTCCCACCATGGTTGACCACCCCCCAGCCCAGAATCCACCAAGCACAGAATGGATAACAATTCGAAGGAAGAATGGAAGGAAGTTCTGTTCTGAGGGCACAAAGAAGCAACACTCAACCTGCCCTATAGCTTGCAATTCCTTCTCAGCTCTCTCCCAACCTCATCAGAACCTAACCACTTCTCCCTCATCCGCATCCTCACCCACTACAAATCAATCCCACTCAACCAGATCTCCCTCGGCACCACTAATCACACAACCCATCATCCCTCTATCCCATATTCCATCCCCCTTATGCAGTAAGAAACTTATATTTACAGACTCTCCAACCTCCACTGTTCCATCCCAGGTATGCTCCTCTCCCATTACTCAATTGGCTCCCTCTTCACCTCCACACTACAAAAGGAAGAACATGGTCAGTAGTGAACCTGGGATACAACACCCCACTACCTCTTCCCCAGTCACTGACAGCCCAAACAGTATCCCTTACCACTGCTCTTCCCTCACAGACCCTGCATCAATGGTATCCCCCCCAATGAAATCACTCACCAAGATGACTGCTAGAAGCTTCAGGAAGGCTGCTAGAGCAACCAAAAGCTACAGCCCAGGCTTGATATCTTCAGACCCTGCGAAGGGCCATAGATATCTCAGAGGTTCTCTAACCTCTCTCTTTCAATGATATCATTCATTACCTGGAATATGAGGGGACTAAACCAGTCCTCTAAACAAGCAGAGATAAAGAAACTTATCTCTGAAAATAGATTGGATCTAATATCCATTGTTGAGACTAAGGTGTCTCTTGAGAATGTGGCAGCTATTCATCATAAGATAGCTCCTAATTGGTCCATTATCCATAACTACAACTTCTCTCACTTAGGTAGAATATGGATTTTGTGGAACCCTACCACCATAGGCCTCAACATCATTGGCATCAACAAACAAGTTATTCACTGTTCCATCTCCATTTTGGGGGAAAATTTATCATTCTCTTGCTCCTTTGTCTATGCTTCCAATTTGGTTACTGAAAGATCACACATTTGGAATGACATCATCACCCATTCAACCTTATTCTCCCATCTGCCTTGGATCATCATGGGAGATTTCAATGCTGTTACATGTACTGAGGATAGGTTTGGTGGAACTGCAAAATGGAGTCCCTCTATGTCTGATCTCAAAGATTGTATGCAACAGGCAGAACTTGAAGACCTTAAATTCAATGGTATCTTATATACTTGGTGCAACCAGAGTTTTGGGGATGCCTGTGTAGCCAGGAAACTTGATAGAGCCCTTGTGAATTACAAATGGAACATGTCCTATCCAAATTCAGAATGTCGATTTCTAACTCCAGGTATCTCCGACCATAGTCCTATCCTTCTCACCATTAATCTCAACATCCAAAGGAAATGCATCCCTTTCATATTTTTTTAATGCTTGGAGCAAACACCCACTTTTCTTATCCTCGGTTACTGATGTTTGGAACTCCCACATCAAAGGCACCTCCATGTTCCAGGTTGTGCAAAAACTCAAAAGGCTGAAGCACTCCCTCAGATCCAACTGTAGGAATGAGTATTCAGAGGTTGCCTCAAGACTCAATGCTGTTAAAATGGAACTTGACTCTTGCCAGTATGATCTTGATAAAGCTGCCAATGACTCCTCTTTAAGGTTAATGGAAAAAGCTCTTATATCAGAGTACCTAAGACTTGGAACACACAGGAGGATATGTTAAGGCAGAAATCTAGAATGATTTGGCTGAAATTAGGAGATTGTAATTCTTCTTATTTTCACAAATCATTGATCTCAAGGAATAATAGGAACAAGATTATCAGCCTTATCAATGCTGCTGGTCAACAGATTGATGATCCTGCTGCAATCAAATTGGAAGTCATTTCTTACTTTCAGAATTTACTAGGCAGTACCTCTTCTTCAACCCCTGACATATGCAACCTCACCCCTTTCATCACTAAATCAGTTCCTCCCCATCTCCTTAGCATCATTGTTTCTCTTCCCACTTACCATGATATTCAGCCTTGCTTCCTTTCACTCAACAAGGATAAGGCCCCTGGTCCAGATGGATACAATGGACATTTCTTCTATAAAGCTTGGCATATTGTGGGGAAATCAATCATCAAAGCCATTTCTGAATTTTTCAGAAATGGCAAACTTCTTTCAGAAATCAATTCTACCTACTTATCCCTGGTGCCTAAGTGTCCTAATCCCTCTTCTCTCAATGATTATAGACCAATTGCATGCTGCAATATCATCTACAAATGCATAGCAAAATTGCTTGCAAACAAGCTTCAGCTAGCATTGCCTTTTATCATTGACCTTACCCAAACTGCCTTTGTTCAAGGCAGGAAAATCACAGACTCCATCCTTTTAGCTCATGAGTTACTTAGGGGTTACCACAGGGATGTTGGTCCTCCTAGATGTGCTATCAAAATCGACCTAAAGAAGGCTTTTGATTCAGTTAATTGGGACTTCATTTCAAGCTATCTCACCCTTCTCAAATTCCCACAGAAATTCATTAATCTCATCATGGCTTGCATCTCATCCCCATCATTCACAATAGCTTTGAATGGAGAATTCCAAGGCTATTTTAAAGGGAAGAGAGGGTTGAGGCAAGGAGATCCTCTATCCCCTTTCCTTTTTGTCATTGTAATTGATGCCTTCACAGCTATCCTAAACAATTATATAAGAAGAGCTCCAGCTTTCAAACACCATTGGAAATGCAAGGAACAAGGTGTTACTCACCTTTCTTTTGCAGATGACCTCCTTTTGCTATGCTATGGTAACATTGAATCCATCTCCATTATAAAGTCTGCACTGGATTACTTTTGCTCCATGTCTGGTCTTACCATAAATTTGGCAAAAAGTTCAATCTTCATCACTGGTGTTAATCCACATACTAAAGAAGCCATCATCAATCTGCTGGGTATTCACAAAGGTTGTCTTCCCAT